TAAACCCTGAACCCTAAACCCGGCAAGGCAAGGGACCTGATTTCACGAGCTCGTCGGCCTCTAGGAGGACGATCTGACAGGAAGATGGATCTTCGGGTCTGGGGCTTTAGGGTTTAGTAGGGTTTAGTAGGGTTTAGTACTGGTAGGGTTTAGTAGGGTTTAATAGCGTTTAGTAGGGTTTCGTAGGGTTTCGTAGGGTTTAGTAGGGTATAGGGTTTAGGGTTTGGGTTTAATCGGGGCTTGGAGCTGTAGGATTTAAGGAATTTACGGCGTTGGTTTAGGCTTTGGGAATTGAGGGACAAGACGTACAAGCTTTTGACTCGTCGGACTTGTTCGCGTCCCCTGCGCTCCTCCATTTTTACAAGACATGGGTAGTTCTCTAAATTAGGGTCCTTTTTTTGGGACCCAAAATAGTACGGCACTCTTACAAACAGGGCCGCAAAAGGGATCCTAACCTAGGGTACTACCCACATCTATCGCACCAAAAATGACTTACAGATGCCAAGCGGGGAGGTTCTTAGAAAACTAGGCAATCTTATCGGTGTCGCCAGTGACCAAGCTGATGCCATGTTTCATAATGTTGCCCTTTCCGTCGAAGTGACCGAACTCGGTAAGCTTCTCGGTGCCCTCCTTCTCGCCAGCCTCCTTTTTAAAGACACGAAGCTTCTTTGTCTCGCTCGTCATCAGGCTCATGGGCGTGGAAAAGCGTTTCCTTCGTGGTGCTTGTGGAATGTTAGAGGGTTTTACAGGCTGAATGCGATCATTTTCGGGCTTATTGGGGCTTAGGGGTTTGCAATGAATCCGGAAGGGCTAGAACATGTCATGAGCATGATTCGTGCGCCGGGACTCCTAAACCCTAAACCCTAAACCCTAAACCCTAAACCCTAAACCCTAAACCCTAAAAGGGCAAGGAGACATGGTGTTGGCAACCCAGCGGTTCTGGGAGGACTGAGATGCTAGGGTAGGGTTCAAGGGAGCAGGGTGTGGGGCTTCTGGGTTTAGGGTTTAGGGTTTAGGGTTTGGGGTTTAGGGTTTAGGGTTTAGGGTTTAGGGTTTGGGGCTTCATGATCAGGGTTTAGGGGTGCAGGGTTTAGGGCCTAGGCTCTAGGAACTAGGGCCTAGAGTTCTACTCGCAGGACAGGCGACCCAGTAGGTCTGCTACATATGGGAGTTTCCGAAAATAGGAGACCCTAATATAGTACCCTAAACAGTAGGATCCTTACTGTAAGGACCCCAAAATAAGGTACCCCTCGTTTTCGGAAACTCCCATATCTTGAGGTGAGAGATCCCCTAGTTGGGGTGATCTTCTTGATTATGACCCCAACTTGGAAGCTACTTACTAGTCCCTGCAGCCTTAAGATCATCAAACGACGGGGCTGAACTCTCGATTTTCAATCAAAAGTCCAGGCAAGCGGCGCAGGGTTTAGGGCCTAAACCCTGACACCAAGGGCCAGACGTAGAAATGCCATACCCTAAACCCTAAACCCTAAACCCTAAACCCTAAACCATTACTAAGTATTTCGACCCTAGAGGTTCGACCTAGCGGGATTTGCGGCTGCCCGGCCTGCACTGCCTCCCTTGAGGGCGACCGGTCTGGGCTATTTGCCCCTGAATGGGGCTCACCTGGCATGCTGGAGGCTTAGGGTTTAGGGTTTAGGGTTTAGGGTTTAGGGTTTAGGGTTTAGGGGGCTTCACACAATGCTTCTAACTGTAGAATAGGGTTTAGAGTCTAGGGTTTGGGCTAGTTAAGGCAATGCACGATGTTGTCCGTCAGCAATTTCGAAAACCCATGCTTAGCTGAGGGTTCTGGCACTGCAACCCGCAAGAGAAAGTCATTTTAGGGGCTTGGGATAGAGTATGGCCGGGCTACTGGAGGGGGTGGGGGAGCATTTACGTCATGTGTTGTTTGGGATTCAGGGTATAGGATTTAGGGTTTA